AAAGGAAGGGGAAGGGATGGTTCAGGAGAGGGGAGGACCTGGACTAGAAGGGCAGCCGGGGGGTCCTGAGGCCTCCTGGTCAGGAGCTGCCCTGCCTCAGAGGGAAGGGACTGTCTTCCCAGCCACTCCCAGGACTTCCGGGAGTCAGGGAAACTCACGTGGGAAGAAGGGAAGAACCAGCAGAGTGGTCTCCCTTTGTCAGAGAACTTCCAGCCAAGACAAAGGCTCAGAGTGGACAGTTCTCCGCACTCCACTGATCCAGGGTGATCTCCATCGTCCCCACCCAGTCTCAGTGCTTATTCTCTCCCGTGGCTGGAATTACTGGGTAGGGATGGGGTGCTGTTGGGAGCTAGGCTGTCACTGATGGGCCAAAGGATAGAGTCATAGGCAACCTCAGCCTGGTTCTGAAGCTGTACGTAAATGAGGAAAACTGCTCGGGCAGACAGCCACTAGAACAGGCCAAGGGAGCAGGAGTAATCTCACTTGGGTGTGGTGGTGCATTCCTGGAATCCCAGTGGTCTGGGAGACTGAGGCAGGAGGATCTGAAGTTTGAGCCCAGCTTGGTCAACTTAGTGATTTAGTGAGGTCGTACCTCAAAATAAAAAATAAGAGAAGGGCTGGGGATGTAGCTCAGTGTAAAGGCCCTGCTTGAATCCTCAGTACTAAAGAAAAAAAAAATTAAAGGGCCACCTCCAGCAGGAAGTGGGAGGTGGCCAACACAGCTGCCAGGAGAGGCCAAACCTCTTCTGTACATTGGCATCTCTGCCATCTGTCACAACTGGGCACTTTAGGTCTCCCCATCAGCTTCCCCAGGGCCCAGACACTGAGGGACGGCACCAACTGGCTTCTCCAGCTTCCTGAGACCTCACTGCCCAGCCAGGTTAGGGAAAGCGCAGGAGTGCGGTGAAGGCCAGGCACTGGGCTGGCACTTGCTTCCACTGAGCTTGAGCCTGAGGGTGTGAGGAGAGGCATCTCCACCTGCCCTGTCCCACACTGCCCAGAGCCTCCTGCCTGCCAGCCTGGAGGGGCAGGAAGCGCCTCATCCTGACAGCTAAGCTCTCTGTGCCCTTTAACACTGTGTGATCGAGGAAATGACTCACTCTTCGCCTCAGTTTTCCTCATCTACAAAATGGAGAGAGGAGGAGCACCTGGCAAGGAGGTGTTTAGTCACTTTCTTCGTGGCTGATGCACAGTATCTGACACCCGCAACTGAAAGGGAAAAGAGGCTTATTTTGGCTTCCGTTTTAGAACTTCCAGCCCATTCGGTGGACTCAAACATAGAAACGCGAGGCAGAGGGGCCTGGGAGGAGGAAGACTGCTCAGGTCATGGCACAGAGGGGAGGGAGCATCCAGGGAGGGAGCCAGACCCCTCTGGTCCCGCCCCAATGACCACCTATTCCCACAGGACCTCCTCCTACGAGCTAGTCAGCCATGACACCGCTACCATCCAGTGCCCCTTCAAGTCTGCCTGTGAGCACATGAGGCTTTGGGGGATCTGTGAGAAACCGTAACAGGGGGTTAATAATTGTGACTATAAAACATTCAGCGAACTAAGTATAAGGGGCAATTTCATTCGCTGCTAGTACTAGAGTACAAAAATAAGAGAACTTTGCTGATAGACAATTTGGTAATGTTAAAAATGTTCCTACAAAGACTCATACATAACTGTTCATAACAACTTTATTTGTAATAGCCAAAAGCTGGAATCAGCCCAGATGTCCTTCAACAGGTGAGTGGTTAAAGAAACGGTGGTATATGTACTAGGAGATAAACGAAAGCAACGCACTGTTGATACACAAGAAAACTTGGATGGTCTCTAGGGAACTGTGTGTGGAAGGAGCCAGTCCTAACAGGTTATGTGCTGTATGTTCCACTTCTTGAAGCTACAAAATTTAGGACAGCAGGACAGAGTAGCTGTGCAAAATGCTGAGCGAGTAAGGTGTGATTATAAAAATAAAACACAATGCATCTTTGTAGAGCTGGGACTGTAGTGGTGGATAAACAAACCTACACAGGTAATAAAACAGTTTAGGACTTAACACTGCACATGCACACACGCACATGCAAGAACAAGAAAAGTATTTACAAGGCCAGTGGATTGTAGCAATGTCAATATTCGGGCTGTGATACTATAACATTTGTGCAAAACGTTACCCTTCAGTGAAAGTGGGCAAGGTGTACAAGGGATCTCTGTATTATTTCTTAATGATTGCATGTGTATCTATAATTGTCTCATTTAAGAAAAAAAACTGATAGGGCCAGGGATGTAGCTCAGCGGCACAGCACCTGCCTGGCAAACGCAAGGTCGTGAGTTCAATTCCCAGCACCAAAAAAAAAAAAAAAAAGCTATGATAAATTATTAATGTCTCTGCTGGGTATAGAGGAGATGGAGCTGCCTGTGTGTGTGTTCTCATTGCAGAATTCCAGAGAGGGAGATTAATAAATATTATTCTCATTAGGCTACATCAATAAAATGATCATAACCATGGGGGGTAGTTATTTGTATCTGTTGACCCAGCAATTCCACTTCTTGGAATTTATTATTAACAATGTGTGAAGCCAAGCAGGGTGCATACTTATAGTCTCAGCTATTCAAGAGGCCGAGGCAGGAATATCCAATGTTTGTGGACAACCTTGGCAACTTAGCAAGACCTTGTCTCAAAAATAGGGGCTGGGGATTTAGCTCAGCGGCAAAAGCGCCTGCCTGGCAAGCGCAAGGTCGTGAGTTCGGTTCCCGGTACCGGAGAAAA